GAATTGGAGTTCACGAAGTGCTGCGGTGAACTTATGGTACCAATTCCGCGATGCCTGTCGTAACCCATACAAGGATTTGTTCAACCGACAAACGCGAGTCTCCCCCGGAGCAGCAAATCCCTGTGGAATGCGCATATATACTTCTTCATCCAGATCACCATGAAGAAACGCGTTGTTGACGTCCAACTGATGAATAAACCACCCTTTACTAACAGCGACTGCAAGTAGACAACGAACAGTAACAAGCTTGGCGACGGGAGCAAAGGTGTCATGGAAATCGACACCTTCGATCTGAGTATATCCTTTGGCGACCAAACGCGCCTTATATCGCTCAACCGTGCCATCCGGGTGAAATTTCACCTTATACACCCATTTGCAGTCGATGACTCTCTTGCCGGGGGGAAGAAAAACCAAGCTCCACGTCCCATTCTCTTCGAGGGCCAAGACTTCAGCTGACATGGCCGCCCGCCAACGAGGGTCCTTAACTGCTTCATAGAAGGATCGAGGCTCGGGATGATGTGCCACAGCTGCGAGAAAAGCACAATAATTAGCCGAGAAACGATCATAAGTAAGCTGTGCAGATAAGGGATAACGAACTGACTGAGCTGTACTTCCCGTATAATAGATGTCCAGGTGCTTAGGTGGCACCCTGTTGCGTTCACCTCGGCGGAGTGGGGCAGGCTCCGGATTGGGCGAAGGCGGCTGATGTGTAGCGGGTGAAGATTCTCCCAAATGCAGGTCCATTGTGGAAGTCGGCTGCATAGGGGAAGCACTCGGCCGAGTGCAAGACTTGTCCGCTGTTGGTGAAGACAGGTCCAGCGGGCTGGACTGATCGGGCTCTTCAAGAGAGGTGGGCCGAGTTGGCCCAAGGGGCCGAGGTGATGCATCCAGGCGAGTGGGGGGAGATACGGCCACTGACCCGGGTAATGGCCCAGCCGAGGGAGAGAAAGGAAACTGGGTATGCTGGCGCTCACCATCGAGAAGTTCATTCTCGTCATCAACATGGCGTTCAAAAACAGACCCAGGCACCCAGGGGAACTGATCGGAGCATCCTTCCTGAAATGGGAAGACCGATTCATGAAAAACTACGTCTCGACTGGTGATGATTTTCCGCGTAGACAAATCGTAAGCCCGATATCCCTTCTGGCTAGCTGCATAGCCCATAAATACACACGCACGACCGCGTTCTGAGAATTTTCCCAAATTCGCGTGCGTATCCTTGCAATATACTAAACAGCCGAATACGCGAAGGTGATTGTATGCCGCCGGTTTTCCAAACACAATCTCATAAGGCGTGCGCCCAGTAGCTTTAGTAGGCAGCCTGTTGATCAAATATGCTGCCGTAAGCACGCATTCTCCCCAAAATCGAACTGGAAGAGAGGCTTGAAAACGCAGTGCCCGTGCTGTCTCAAGTATATGTCGATGCTTGCGTTCCACGACGCCATTCTGCTGAGGCGTATCAGTACAGGAAGTTTGCAAAGATATGCCTTCCTTCTCATAAAATTCGCACAATAATTTGGTCGCAAATTCAGGACCGTTGTCAGCTTGAATCTTCTTAACCTGTTTACCAAACTGAGTACGAACAAGGTTGCAGAATAACTGTATATAACGACCAACCTCCGACTTAAAACGAAGTAAATATATCCACACACCTCGACTGAAATCATCGACTATAGTCAAGAAATAATGAGCACCACTGTATGACGGAGTATGATAACCTCCCCAGATATCCATATGCAACATCTCAAAACAAGAAGTAGTACGAATCCCGCTAACGGGAAAAGGTGTTCTAGTCTGTTTAGCCCTTGAACACGAATGACATAATTCTACTGCCGACTCGACTGGAAAAGAAAAATTCGAACTTAATTTCTCCAATACTCCTGCTGAGGGATGACCCAACCTTGCATGCCAAGGCGCTCCCTGCCCTTTAACCACGGCATTGGCGCGTGCATGACCGCCAAACAACTTCAGAAAGTACAAACCATCACGAATCTCCCCCTTCCCAATCACGTTCTTGGAGTGTAAGTCCTGTATAACGCAGAAATCACCAAGAAAAATCAATGCCACATGATGTTCTTGACAGAGCCGACTGACAGAGAGTAAATTGCAGCTGAATTCCGGAACATGTAGAACCCGACTGAGAATTCTGTCATTACTGAGTCGAACAGACCCTATACGTTTCACAGGAATGCTCGCTCCATTTGGTATCCGTACTGGCTGACATGGTACATTATCATTGTATGCGAATAACAGAGAATCATCCATGACAATGTGTTCATTGCAGCCAGAATCAATAAGCCATTCGGGTTCATTTGAAAAGGAATACGTACCCGCCATGTGACTAGAGGGATCGGCAGCTCCTTGAGTCATACTGCCAAAGAATTGCTTCAACTGGAGTAATTGTTGAGGGGTAAAACCAGCAGTGGCACTCGCTTCAGACTCGGCCTGCGCTGCCCGAGGTTCACGACTCTGACCTCGTCCTCTTCCTTGCTCGCGAGCGTCACGATTGCGGCGGCGATCAGGTCTCTCGCCCGATTTGTCCCGAGACGGCCACCCAATGAGCTCATAGCAGCTCTCTTTAAGATGCCCAGACTTGTGGCAATGGGTACACGTCACTCGCTCCCTGTCACCCGACGATCGCCCTCGTGGGTTGCGCGCTTCAGCAGCCGGTTTTGCAGAATCTTCTTGGGCTGCGAAAGCAGCAGCTTCCGGGACGGGCTTCCGATTTTGAGTAATGGACCTTTGCTGTTCATCATTAAACACAATACGGAAAGCCTCGGGAAGTGAAGGTGTGACTGCCATAGATAAAATTTGGCTACGAACAGTAGCATAAGACTCGTCCAAACCGAGCAAGAAGTCTAGCAACCTCATGCTCTCATTCTGATCCCGACTCCTTCGGCCACATGCGCATACTGGCGGTGGAAGAATAGACTGTGTTTCTTCCCAGTTTTTGCGCAACTTAGTATAAAAACTTGAAACCGATTGCTTCTCTTGCTGCAACAAGCAAATATTACGACGTAGCTCATAGGCTCGTGTTAGATTACCTTTGCTAAAGCGATCACGCAGGTCCTCCCAGATTTCCTGAGCCGTTTTAGCATGCATTACGCTGCTGCGTAATTCCGCATCCATGGCGGTTCGCAGCCAACCCTTGACAAGTGCATCACATCGCATCCAGGCAAGGGACTGAGCCGATCCGTCTTCTGGTCGGGGAATAGAGCCATCTGCGAAACCAATCTTATTCTTTGTGACCAGGGCATCCGTCATCTCCAGGACCCATTCACCATAATTTGACGACGTTAATAGGCTGCTCACATGGAGATGTCCCGTGCTATCACTCTGGTGTATGAAAAGAGGGTTCGTGACGTCGATGTCCCCATTACCGTGGCTACCACCGCCACTGCCGCCAGAAAGCTTGGATTCAGGCGTTCCCGAGAAAGTAGAATCCTTCCCAGACATATTGAGTAATCGAGTGTTGGATCAATGCTCTGATACCATAATAAATTTGTAAGAACGATTTGCGGAATAGAAATAACACAGGTTTTACGTGGTATCCCCGAGTATCGGGACTAGTCCACGGGAGAGCTTAACTCTCCGGAGTCACTCTTATTATTCTTGTTCAAGTTGCGGCCAGAGGCCTTACATCATATTTATACCCTTTGTGTGCAGCTAGGGTATGAGAGGAATAAGGAAGATTCCTTTTACAACAAGGAACGGAAACACTTCCTACTATAATTGACCCATTATCATCATTCTCAACATGGGCCTTAGCTGCAGCGGGTTGCCTCTCCTGATGTCGCTGCGGATCTCGCATGGGTCGTGGACCTTGGGCCACGTCCATTACCCTCTAAGTGAAGACAGCTGCAATCCATTATAGTGCCACAAAATTATGATGCCATGTTCATGTTCTTGTCTCGATTCCTCAACTCGTGGCTTTGCAACTCTCATTACATTAATATATTTTTTTCAATTTAATTGCTCAGTGCATGTATTCCAAGGATCTCATTTGTGCCCATTCTGATGCTGAATTGAAACCCGCGTTTGCCCTAAATAATTGCCAAATAAAACCACTTCGTTTCTCGCATGCCTTCACTATGATTTCTGGGCTGCTCCAGACCCAATTCCACACGAAAACGTGAAACCCACAAGCCCACAACAATTATTATTTTACGAAAAACTAAAACCAGAATCAAAGCTGGCTCTCTTTCTCTTTCTTTTCCCTTAAATTGAACACGCATTTGCCATTTCCACGAGCTTTTCCACAGGGATAATTATCTCCTTAATTTTGCTTGCCAAAAACAAAATTAATAAATAATTACCCAACCGTATTAGCTTGCCAGTCACATTCATCCCATATATAATGATAATAACAATTAACTAATCAATATTTTATTTTATTTTATTTTAATAGATCGAACTCAAAGCTGTCTTTGGCTCTGGATTTGGCTTTGGCTCATCTATCGCAGAAGAAAACAAAAGAAAAATACGGTAACAGTAAAAATAGTAAAAAACAACAACCAATCCGGCTAAGTAAGTACTCCAATTAAATGGTGGCAGGCCTAAGGAAAAATAATTAATATTTTCAAAAAGAAACAAATATATTAATTTGAAAACTCAATCCCAGAATCCTTGCCAAAAACACCCACCTGTTCCACTATCACCAAGCTTAGCCTTACTACAAAATAAGAAACCAAAATTTCCATCCAAACCCAGAGAGGAGAGCTCTTCCCTTCCTTCTGCCACGCCCAAATTTCCTTCCAAAGTGGAAAAAAGCTTCCATCTTTCCCTCCTCCATTGCTGCTCCTCCTCTTCATTATGCTCCCCCACGCTCCACTCATTCTCCCAAACCAGTTGCTTTTGTAGCCTTTCCGCCACAGCAATTTGATTTTCCCTCCATTCCAGCTTCTTCCAGAGAGAGGGCTCTCTGAGTTCCCATTTCTTCTCCAGATCTACGAGCGAGCAATATAAAAAGAAAAATGGTGGCGGAGACTTGGATACTGAAGATGGGGAACCAGGTGAGCAGCAATTTAAAGCACGCATTCCTCCTTGAACCCAGCAGCAAGAAGAAAACCCCCAGAAGGGCGGCGGCCACGGAACCCACCAAGCAAACAATTGGGATCCTCTCCTTCGAGGTCGCCAATGTCATCTCCAGAACCGTCCATCTCCACAAATCCCTCACTGATTCAGAGATCTCCAAGCTCAAATCCGACATCTTGGGCTCTCAGGGGGTCAGGAACTTGGTCTCCAACGACGATTCCCGCCTTCTGGAGCTTGCCCTGGCCGAGAAGCTAGACGACCTCAACAGAGTCGCCGCCGTCGTCTCCCGCCTCGGCAAGAAGTGCGTCGAGCCGGCCTTGCAAGGGTTCGAGCACGTCTATGGGGATTTAATTAGCGGCGCGATTGATGTGAAGGAATTGGGGTTCTTGGTCAAGGACATGGATGCCATGGTCAGGAGGCTCGAGAGGTATGTCCACGCCACTGCTAATTTGTACAGTGAAATGGAAGTTCTGACCGAATTGGAGCAAGCTACCAAGAAGTTTCAGATGAACCAGCACGAGGAAAGCAGGAAAGCGTTTGAGCAGAAAGTGGTTTGGCAGAAGCAAGACGTTAGGCATCTCAAGGACGTTTCAATTTGGAACCAGAGTTATGATAAAATTGTGGAGTTGCTTGTTAGAACTGTGTGTACTATTTATGCTAGGATTTGTGCTGTGTTTGGTGAATCCATGTTGCACAAGGAGAATAGTAGTTGTTCTATCTCTTCCCTCTCTCCTAATAGTAAGGATGAATGCTGGGAAGTTTCAGGGCAATTGAAGCGACCCATTGTGCAGCAGAAGAAGGAGGCGAACAACAAGGTTAGGCCTCACCGGGTTGATTCCAGGAAGAATGGAGTTTCCTCTGTGCTTGAAGCTGGTGATGTCATGTTTCCTTGTGGGGCGAGCCCTGGAAGGATGTTCATGGAGTGCCTTAGCTTGTCTAGCTCAGTGTCAAAGCTGGATTACGACGATGACGAGGATGATCAAAGCAGCCAAATCTCAAGCTGCAAAAGCGTGATGAATTCTAACTTGAAGAGAGCGCTTAGCCATTTGAGTAGTGGGGATGAAAGGCAAGGGGAAACTAGCCCGTTTGGTGGACCGAAGAGCAGATTGACCATCTATGCCCCTCAAAGCACACTCGGAGGGTCTGCTTTGGCATTGCATTATGCCAACGTCATAATCGTGATCGAGAAGCTGCTTCAGTACCCTCATTTGGTAGGTGAAGAAGCGAGGGATGATCTGTACCATATGCTGCCAACAAGCTTGAGACTTTCACTGAGGAAGAAGTTGAAGTCGTATGTGAAGAACTTGGCGATCTACGATGCCCCATTGGCCCACGATTGGAAAGAGAGCATCGACGGGATGCTGAAGTGGCTTGCTCCACTGGCACACAATATGATGAGATGGCAGAGCGAAAGGAACTTCGAGCAGCATCAGATTGTGGCAAAGAGCAATGTCCTACTGCTCCAGACGTTGTACTTCGCTGATAGAGCAAAGACAGAAGCAGCCATATGCGAGCTTCTTGTTGGGTTGAACTATATATGCCGGTACGAGCAACAGCAGAATGCATTATTGGATTGTGCTAGTAGCTTCGACTTTGAAGACTGTATGGAGTGGCAGATGCAGTGTCGAGCTGCTTATTTTAACTGATAAAAGAAACACAGCAGGATGAAGATCTTGAGGTTTGTTATACTGAATTCACTTTGGCTAATTTGATTTTGGAGAAAAGATCCCAGTTGATTAATATTTTGTTGCTTAGCCAGAAGGTATGTCTTCTGTGGCTTTGGAAGGGAAGTAAGTATATAGGAATGAACTGCCATGATTTATCAAAGGGGATCTCTTTTCTAATTGTTGTATATTCTTGTGGGTTAGAATGTAATTGTCTGCTGCACATCACTGCATTGTGGCAGCTTAGTGCTTTCTGTAAAATGTTCTTACCTGGCCAGCCAGTATCTTGGAAGGAAGGAATTAGTGAATTGACATGTCATACTTGTACAACATTTGGGTTGCCTGTCTATTCTCTGTTGAACTTGCATTTGCCTTCTGAATGCCATCAGATATTTTGTACTTGTTGTTTCATGAAGTTCAGATGATTAGGAAGTTGCTTGATTAAACTGGAACAATCCTCCTTACAATAGGTTATCAAACATTGAATTAGTTCATTTGGAATCAACTAGGGGGGAAGATCCCATATGAAATGCTGACTTGAAGCTCCATTATGAGAACAAATGAATGATTGCTGAAAAGCTCTGACAGTCGTCAACTTCTGCAATAGATTGCAGCTTTCAAACTTTCCCCTGACACTGGCAATAGAAGTGGATGAACTCTCTTGCTCTTAACGGGTGGGATTTATTCACTATTAAAAAACCTGCTGATGAGCACAAGTCTGAAAGTGGTGACCTTTGTTTGGGCTTCCTGGTTGATTTATGTGTTAAACAAGAGTTTTTCTGTCCATTAATTAAAGACGTCACCTTTCACTCGATACTGCTCCTCCTCCTGGGGCCTAGTGAATTAAATATAGGGAGGGACACAGTAGTACACACAACAGAAAGAGAGGAGGTTTCAGTTTGTTTAGGGTTGTCATTGTCTCTAGGGCTCTAGCAACTTCCTACCCAACATTTTGTCTCTTATAGTAACCTCTACTTACTTCCATGCCTTTAAGAAAATCTCAAAACTATCTGCTTTGGACTGAAATTGATGCTGTAGAAGAGCAGGAGGGTTTATAAGGTAACACCCACTATCAGTGCTCGCCAATAATGACAGATAGCAACGAAACATCTCAGTTTTTATCATCAATGGAACATTGCACAAACTAGATGGCAAGGCAAAGTTAATGAAGCTTTTTCATTTCTTCTGGGGTGATCCAAAGGAAAAAGAAGGGGGAGAGGTGGTTGGGCATGTGGAGGTCATTGAAGGCATTGGTGGCCAGGGTAGACGGTAGCATTGAGTGCGTCCGAGGGGGCACCATTACTGAACACTAAATCCTCCAAAGAGATGAAGAAGGACACAATCACACACACACACAAGAACACCACTGCTGCCGTATCTGTGTGTGTGTGGTTGCAAGCTCATTTAATTCATTGACAATGCCATTTCCAAAGCAAGTAACACACCAGCAAGAAGCATTAAATAGAGATGGCGATTGGGGATCCTTCAATTTCCTTGTTGTTCTGCTGCTGCTGATTGGGTTTCATTGTGGATTCAAGTCAAAGGGGATGACGTACTACTAATTAGCTTACATGGGTCTGATGAAGTCAAGGAAGTTGCACAGTTTTGCTGCACACTCCTCGTCGTCATCGCCATTCATATCAATCATATATAGCCATCTGCTGTCTTGCTAAATCATTGTCATAGCCAGAAACCAAGGGCTGGCCCCCGTCCTTGTTTGTACATGTGGTCTAATTTAAGCTCGAAGTTTGCTAGATAACGTAGCAGCAAACTTCTTTTTATCAATGAGCACGTTGGCTTGCAGGCTTTTGCAGTGGTGACTCCAAGACTATAAGTCTATATAACCTTGCTTAGGGAGGAGGCTTTCAGTCGGCCAGTTCACTTAGCTCGAACAATTATCAATTATACTATTCCAGATTTGTCTATATTGACTTATATGGGTCAACTGCCAAAACAAAACAGTTATCCAATTATGCATTTTCCTCAATAGTTTGACCACAATGTCACGTTGTTGATCGGGTCGATCAAAATATTTATTAGACCGATATACTCTGTTTCTATAAAGATGTTGATGATAATTTCATTGAATTTCTTAAAGTCCCTTGATAATTGAATTGGAAGGGCAAATTGTATAAGATAGAAGTAGAAAGCATTAAGATAATAATGACGACAATTTTTTTTTTTTTTTTTTTGCATTAAAGGAGGCCAAAGCCAAGAAAGAGATCAGTTATAACAGGAGAGAGGAAAGCAGAAAAGAAGAGAAGAGAAGACTATCTATCTCTTTGCACCACAATCCGGCGCTCAAAAGAGACTCCCTGGTTATCCTCGTGTAGAACACGACACAAGTCCCTTAGCGGGTCAACAAGTTCTCGCACGCCATAGGGATAGATGAGACTGTGCTTCGATAGCCAGTCCGTGGCTCTATTCCCCTCCCGGTATGTGAACAATATTGACCAACCAATCCTGATCCAAGAGCCGCCGAATCAACATCAGGATGTCAGCGTACGGGTGGATGGGATCCTGTCGATCCTTAATCAATTGAATAGCCAGTTGAGAGTCTAACTCAACAATCAAGCTCGTGCACCTGCAACGCCAAGCAATGTCCAGGCCATGCCGAATTGCCCACAGCTCAGCGAGAGCCGCCAAGGCCTTTCCAATCTTAGCCACAAAACCAGCTATCCATCGAACCTGATCATCTCTAATCAATCCGTCAGCCTCTGCAATCCCGGGATTTCCCCCCGAAGCCCCATCAACATTGAGCTTCATCCATCCCCTTGGGGGGGGGGGGGGCAAGCCACCTAATGCTCTCTACCCTCTCTTCTTGGACCATCCTAGGCTTACCTGGCGAGATTGAAGGGGCACTCCAAGCCTTGTGCCAAAGGTTGATCTTATGCATGATCGAGTGGCTCAGGGACGGGGCAGTCAGAGTGGCAGCAGACCCTTCGAAGCAGCCCGTGCACCCGTTCTTCCACAAACACCAGATCGCTATGCTGAAGAAGGCATTCCAACTAACCCCTGCCGCCATGGCCTCCTCCTTGAGAAGGTTCTTCTGCAGCCAGTCTCCCGTAGAAGCTGAGAAGAAAGCGTGATGGTCAGCCGCCGACACGTGCCTGCTCCAAAAGAACACGGCGGGAGGGAAATCACGGAGGACATGAAAAATGGTCTCGGCAGCATCTTCACAACGGTAGCAGGAGGAGGACGGCGTGCACTTTCTAGGGAACCTGAGTTGGTTCGTAGCAATCTTGCCCAAACAGACCAGCCAGGCGAAACACCAAACTCTTTCCGGAACAGGGAGCCGCCAAATTTTCTTCCACATCAGATGCCGGGAATCATGCTGAGGCGGATTCGCCAACAAGTAGGCTGTTTTGGTTGAGAAGCGCCCGTTGGAGGATCCCGTCCAGAAGATCCTGTCCTTCTCGGTGGAGAGAGGATCCACAACCACCGCGGTCATCTTCTGCAGAACCTCCACTAGCAGCCATGGGGCCAACCGATCCACGTCCCACGATCCGTCTTCTCCAAGGTGGTCAACAACAGAATCCGACATCCTATCACTCGGCACCGGTTGAAGGGCCATCTCCACGAGCGGGACCTGCATCAACCAAATATCACGCCAAAACTTAGTATCTTTCCCGCTATGAATATTCCACCCACAGCCTTACTGCAGTAAGCTCGAAGCTTTAGTAAAGCTTCTCCAAGCAAAGGAACTTCCCTGACTCGGGCGAAAAAGGTCCAATCCTTCCCGTTGGCGCCCATACTTGGCACGAAAGAGCTGTGTCTAGAGGGAGTTCTTCTCCTGAAGCAACCGCCAGCCCCCTTTAGCCAGGAGAGCCAAATTAGCTTGCCTCAGGGGTCGTAAGCCTGCACCCCCTTGACTCTTTGGCTCGGTTAACTTCTCCCAGGCCACCAAATGCATCCTTCCTTGCTTCTCCCCCACTCCCCATATGAAATCCCTGTTAATCTTATCAATAGATTTACAAACATTCATAGGGACGAGCTCCGTCTGCATAGGGTAAGTAGGGATAGCAAGAGACACAAAGCGCGCCACTGTAAGCCTCGCAACAAGGGAAAGACGCCTAGCTTTCCAAGGCGCAAGCTTCTTCTGAATTTGAAGAATAAGGGGCTGGTATCTGCTCTTGGTGATCCTCCCATGGATAGCTTGCAAACCCGGGTAACGCCCCAGATTGAGAGTCAACGGAATGCAAGCTCTGTCGCTAAGATGTTGCGCTCGATGCTGACTGATATTTGGTGAGACATAGAGCAAGGACTTGCTGAAGTTCACTCTTTGGCCAGAGCTAGCACAAAAGTCGTCCAAGCATTCCTTGATAATCCAGACCTGAGAGCCTTCAGCCTCTGCAAAAAGAATAAGATCATCTGCAAAAAAGAGGTGAGTTAGAGCCGGGACCCCAGGCGACAATCTGACAGGTTTCCACACCTTATCCTGGACCGCCCGGTCTATTCTATGAGAGAGGCGCTCCATACATAAAACAAAAAGATAAGGTGAAAGGGGATCTCCCTGTCTAACACCTCGGGTCGGGGAAATGGGCTGCAAGAGCTCTCCATTCCAGAGGATGCGCATAGCATTCTTCTCGACACAGTACATGATGCAGTGTATCCAAGAGCTCGGAAGACCAACTTCAATGAGAGTATCCCGAAGAAAATCCCATATGAGCCTGTCATAAGCCTTCTCAAGATCAATTTTCATAACCAGCCCTCCTTTCTTGCCTCTCTTCTTCCGCATAGAGTGGAGAAATTCCTGGACAATAAGGATATTGTCTGTCGTCTGTCGGCCAGGAATAAAACTACTCTGTCGAGGAGAGACCAGAGAACTCATAACCGTCTTCAATCTGCTAGTCATAGCTTTAGTGATGGCCTTGAGACTGACGTTGTTGAGGGAGATCGGTCTGAGTTGCCCAACAGTCCCGGGATTCTCAACTTTGGGGATGAGCACCACCGTAGAAGCAAAAACCTCCTCTGGTAGCTCG